TGACTCCAGCACCCTCAAACGCACTAGCGCCAGCAGAACCACCAGCGCCAACACCCCCAGCAGCTCCAGCTCCAGCAGCTCCAGCAGCTCCAACAGCACCAACCGCAGCAGGACCGGGAGCTCCTGTACCGCCTGCAGCTCCAGTAGTACCTCTAGCACGAGTACCTCCTGGACCAACAGCAATAGTAGTACCTCCAGCTCCAGCAGCACGGCTCCAGCGCCGGGCAAACCACTTGCGCAGCTCCTGCGGAGAGAGTGGCTCCCACCTCAACGAAGCACCGCAAGCGGCCACACGAGCAGACCCAGCACCCCCAGGCTCCGCACCCCCAGGCTCAGCACCCCCAGACTCAGCACCCCCAGGCTCAGCACCCCCAGACTTAGCACCCCCGAGCTCCGCACCCCTAGAATCAGCACCCCCAGGCTCCGCACCCTCAGGCTCAGCACCTCCAGACCCGGCACTCGCAGGCTCAGCACCTCTAGCAGCACCAGAGTCAACAGCTACCTCGACAGGCTCGACAGTGTCTACCTGGGACACACCTGACGGGGCAGGACCCTGAGGGGGGAGGGGGTCTACCAGGGAAGGACCTGGCGCAAGGAAGAGCGGTGGCGGGGGGAGGGGCGCAGTGCGATAGGGGAAGAGACGGTAGTAAGGCACTGACTTGTCAAAGGTGAAGTCCTGGGAGGACAGAACCCGGCGCGAGGTGGGGTGGTAAAACTGCCATCCAGGCGCGTCAGGGGGGAAGCCAAGGAAGACGCAGGGAACAGCACGGGGGGACAGCTTGTCCGCAGAAAAGTCGCGGACAAACGCTCAAGATTCCCTGACCCGAAACGCAGACGCATCGCCAACTTTCCCCGTCCACCGCAAGGTGGGGGAGGTCTCTGGCAAGGAGACCCGGGGCTAAAGGTTGAGCTGATGCGCTGCACACTGAACCGCAAACGGCCACAGAAAATGGGGGCAGCCGCATGGATCATGGACGTACGAGTGACGTCCATGACCATGCCAATGCGGCGCTCAGCAATCCCATTTTGCTGTGGAGAGGCCGGAAGCGTGAAGGTCTGGCGCAACCGGGTGAGTAGTCCCATTTCGCTACATTTTACTCCAGGCTGCGCAAGGGGAAGCCTGTGGTGTAGCGCGAGTAGTCGTCAACCACCAACAGGAAGTAACGCTAGTGCCCCTTGCCAAGGACGCGGGCGGGGCCACACACGTCCATGTGAAGAGTCTGCAGCGGAGCCTCTGTCGGAGGAAACTCGGAGGAGTGAGGGGAGGCGCGCTCTCGCCCCTCGAAGCAGGGGACGCAGGTAGGGGCAGGCCCCGGAGGTAGGGGAGGGAGAGACCTAGGGAGACCAGAGACAAGGACACGGGAGGCCATGCCTCGGAGACGAGGCAGGGAGGGGTGACCAAGGCGGTGGTGCCAAAGGAGAGTCTGGTGGGACAGGAGACGACACGAGCAGGGAGCAGACTCAGGACCAGACCTGGACGCTGCAGCAAACACCTGACTCGACGCAGCTACCTGACCAGACTCAGCAGCCGGAGGAGACTCAGAAGTCAGTGTGTACAGGCTTGACCCCGGCCGACGGGTAAACGTGGCCAAGTGTCAGCCCGTCCGAGCACACGTGCAGTGGGTCACCCGCTGACTCGTAGGAGTGAACTGGTCAACCCCCCTATCCTGTAGATTAGCTCCACTCACCAATTTCGTAGAGAACGAGGGGAGGTAAAGACAAGACAGGGTGCCAGAGGGGGCTGCCGGGCACAGTAAGACAGTGGAGAAGCTAGCAAGGACAGGATTCCCAGAGGGGTCACTAGTGCAGAACTCAGCAGGTTGCACAGCGCGGTAGCAAGTGTCACTAGTGCGGAGGTGCGTAATGAGGTCAGTGACAGTGGGAAAGGAAGCAAGGTCAGGGAAGAGGTACGGTAGCATGAGGCGGCTCAGTGCACCAGTGGCAGGGGAGGGGTAGCGTGCAACTACAGAGTCGTACAAGGTCTGAGCACTCTTGTACTGGCTAAAGTGCGTACGTTCAGAGGTAGGCAGGTGGCGACGCACAGCAAGACGGGCAGCAGCATCGCGTGTGGCCCACTGTGAGCGAACAGTGTTGTCAGCAGTAGCAGGCGGGGCAGGGGAGGCACTAGAGGTGAGATCGAACAAGGAGAGTCCGTCAGCCCTATCGCACTGTAGGAACAGCTGGAGGTCATCGACCCAGACCTCAAAGTCAACAGCACGACCCTGAGTATCAAAGGTAAGAACAATGGGGGTAGCCATGACTGCAGTGGCCTAGCAGGGAGTGAGCTCACCAGTCCGAGTAAGTAGGGCCGGGGCGCGCTGGTGGGAACAGTAGCGGCTCCACGGTAGGGCGGCTCGGCGGCTCGGCTGCCGGGCGGCTCGGCGGCTCAGCGGCTCGGCTGGTGGGCGGCTCGGCTGTCAGGCGGCTCGGCTGCTGGGCGGCTCGGCGGTTGGGCGGCTCGGCGGTTGGGCGGCTCGGCTGTTGGGCGGCTCAGCGACTCGGTTGCTGAGCGGCTCGGCTGCTCGGTGGCTCTGCTGTTGGGCGGCTCGGTAGAGGCGGCGACGGGGCCGGCAGAGGCGGCGATGGGGCCGCTAGGGGCGGCAAAGGGGCCGCTTAGGGAGGGGAGCGGCGACGGGGCCGCCAGAGGCGGCTACGGGGTCGCGTAGAGGCGGCGACGGGGCCGTGTAGTGGCGGCGACGGAACCGCGTAGGAAGGGGAGCGGCGACGAGGCCGCTAGGGGCGGCGACGGGGCCGTTAGGGGCGGCGACAGGGCCGCGTAGGGGCGGCGACGAGGTCGCTAGGGACGGCGACGGGGCCGCGTAGGTAGGGGAGCGGCGACAGGGCCGCTAGGGGCGGCGACGGGGCCTCGTAGGGGTGGCGACGGGGCCGTGTAGTGGCAGCGACGGGGCCGCGTAGGAAGGGGAGTGGCGACGGGGCCGCTTGGGGCGGCGACAGGGCCGCGTAGGGGCGGCAGCAGGGCCATGTAGGGGCGGCGATGGGGCCGCGTAGGGGCTAAGGCGGCGACGGGGCCGCTAGGGGCGGCGACGGGGCCGCTAGGGGCGGCGACGGGGCCGCGTAGGGGCGACGACGAGGCCGGTAGGGGCCACTAGGGGCCTCGGAGGGCGGCGAAGAAGGCGCGCCTCGGGCAGGAGCGACTGACGCTCCGGTCAGAAAAAAAAAATTAGTGGTGGGCCCAAGGAAGCGTTCCCACGAGGGAACCTGCTCTATACCATGTGAAGAAACAAGGAATCAATGAACTAGCACAAGGTTGGGTACAAATAGGAAACCCTAGGAAACTGTACCCCATAGTGTCTACCCCACTATAGCCTAGACAAGCTATATGATATGAGTTTGACAAGATTGACTAGAGGGAACTTATCTCCCTTTGGGTTTTTATATACTTTATATCGTCGACTGCATTGCTAATGCTTGCGTGATTAACTATTTTTGTGCGAATGCGTATGGTTCTGTGTGTGTCGTTATATATGTGCGTGCATGTGTGTGTATATATGCGTATGTGTGTGTGTATATGTGTGTGTAAATTCTCCATAGCAATAACAATGCATGTCTGCTAATTTTAAGAAGGGGGTTCAATTCTATCATTTCTCATTGGTTCATTGGCGCACTCAGTGACTCGTGTGTTCGCCACTTCGAACTGGATTTGATAGAGTGAACCTCTTTTTTAGAGTTAGCAGATTTTATTGTTTCATGTGCTAGTTGATTATTCAAAGACTTTGCTATTGACTTCCCCCCCATGCTAGGCAGGGGATGAGTAAGCCTAGTTTTTGGGTCGTTAACTATCACGCATTTGTATGATATACTGGTGTGGTGCATTTTCATGCATACAAATGCATTTTTCATACGTGTATCGTTACTAGGTATGCACCTATATATCATGCCTCATGATTTCATTCATTTAAGCTTGTGTGGCGTGTAATTCATTATTAGTACTCATAACATTTATTACATGCAATTATCAGTACATCAAACAGTATAAGATATAATACAAACAGTATAGCATTTATGCACAAAACTACTACAAAAACTGCTACCAACATTCAAAACACTTCAACATGCACTATAGGAAGGGTGATACTGTAGCTTACAAATTTTTTTCATGTTTTTTAAAAAGTAACCATGAAAAAAAAATGTCAAAATCGATCGTAAAGGGTTGCTTCGCAACCCAAAAACTAGTTTGACTCGGACTGTACATAAAACACCTTACGGTAAAGTCAGAGGAATTGAAACAAAACGCGTTATGTTTACGAAAATGGCTAAAAGAACCTGCCTGACCCGCCCTAAGGGGGTGTCCGAAGTGAAACGTCGACATTCGTTTGGGGATGTCGGTAAATCCTGACGGTTGGAACCGTCGATCCGAGGGATGACATTCGCCGACATCCAGCGACATCCATCGACGTTTCACTTCGGACTGCCCTAAGTTGGACCCGCCCTCACACGTCAAAACCACGAGCAACTGCCACGGGAGCTTCTTCCTAGAAACTGTCAGCTTGCCCACTGACTTGGGTCAGCCTTCGGATGTAGCGACTGCAATGCGCTCTATTGCGCCGAACCTTCAGCGCTTATTGATGGTGGTCAGCCGCATCCAACCCCATGCCATCCTTCCTCTTTCTTCAGCTCCGTACCCGCATTCGCAGCCGCACTGGAGAAAATAACTCTGTAATCGTTTCCACGTTTTCGCGAATACGCAGCGTGCTCCGTGGTCAGATCGATCTTCCTCGTCAGAATCCGTCAATGGGTTGTTAAAACGACGTTAATAACTCTTAAACCGCGTTCAACCTCGTCCTTGCACTGAACACAAAAGTTTCGCGAATAATAAAACGCTTAGTTTCTAGTGGATATCTGTTAGCTTGAGTTTCCTCTGTGTCGAAGAAAGTTATATTGTCAACAGTGCTAGTATCAGAGAAAGGAGGAGGAGCCTGTTTGACTTCAGAATTTGTGTAGTAGTAAAGCGGCTTGACAAGCATACTAAGCGCAGTATCATGGGTCAGAGTGGATCGAGAGAGGGGCAGATACTTTACGCCGCGGTGATCGGCAACACGTCAGCCATCCGAGAGCTGGTTTCACGTGGAACCAGCGTCAACGTGAGTCTCATTGTGGTCAACGTGAGACTTTTAATCGCGTTCCTCTCTTCTCTTAGCTTCCATATAAGCATTTATCCGGGAACGATCTGTTCAATGTTGTTATTCATGCTTCTTTAAGTCGCCGATGCCTGTTGGCGCCAATGTGAGGCTTGTTGGAAGCTAGCGTGCCTGACGCGGGTTACACAGTAACCTGTTACATTCTCTTGTGGGTTAGAGGTCATACATGAGGTGATACACAGTAGCCCTGGAGGATAAACCTTTTTCGTGTCTCTCGCCCCCCTAGCCCCGCATTCCCTCCTCGTCCCTCTTCGCGGCCATCCCCCCTCATTTCCCCGTCATCCCCCCCCGTCCCCCCCTCATCCTCCCACCAGTGTGTGGACGGTAAGGGTGGCACCCCTTTAATTCTCGCCAGCAGCCGGGCAGAGGGCTTTCAGGCGGCGAAGCTTCTGCTGCAGATGGGTTAAAGCAAATGCTTTGTGCTTTGTGCAGCGAGGTTGTTTTTGAGACGTCTCAAAAACAACCTCGCTGCACCCTGCAGCAGACGGGTTAAAGCAAATGCTTTGTGCTTTTTCTCCCCCTCGTCCCCGTCGTTCCCCCAACCAGTGCGTGGATTCCCAGGGTCGCACGCCGTTGATTCTCGCCAGCGGCCAGGCAGAGGGCTTTGAGGCTGCGAAACTTCTGTTACAGATGGGCGCTCTTGTTCGCGCCTACTCCAAAGGTGGGCTTGTTGTCTTTTGAGGCGCCCCAAAAGTCATTCTCGCCAGCAGCCGGGCAGAGGGCTTTGAGGCGGCGAAACTTCTGCTGCAGATGGGCGCCCTTGTTCGCGCCCACTCCAAAGGTGGGCATGCTGGCTTGCTTTTGCGAATCAATCCTCACGTTTGCATACATCCCATGCGCCTATTAGCAGAGTTTTTTGGGGTTTCGGCCCCCAATCTTAAATCCTCCTCTCCGATTTCCACCTGATTTCCACCACCATGCTACCACTTTCTTCCATGCCACAGCACAGTCATTCACCATGCCACAGCACAGTCATTCACCATGCCACAGCACAGTCATTCACCATGCCACAGCACAGTCATTCACCATGCCACAGCACAGTCATTCACCATGCCACAGCACAGTCATTCACCATGCCACAGCACAGTCATTCACCATGCCACAGCACAGTCATTCACCATGCCACAGCACAGCTATCCATCCATAGCTTACATCTCTCCTCCCCCTCCCCCTCTCTCGTCCCGACCATGCAGGTCCAGGAGGGGGCATGGCCATTCACTATGCCGCTCGTAAGAAGCTCGATGCCATGGTGAAGCTGCTCCTGGACCATGGAGGTGAGCTGGTAACCATGTGTTTGAAACCACGATGCATCATGTTCGATATCCCAGAGCTAAGCTGCTGCCGCCATGAAAGTCTTCCCAACTCACTCTTGTTATCAATTATTTTCTTTCGTTCCCCCCTGCCCTGCCTACCCCTAATGCAGCGGACCCCCTTTTCCCCAACGATGATAGAAAAACCGCTCTCGACCTGGCGAGAGAGAGAAATGAAACTTCCGTCGTCAGACTCATAGAGGTGAGGTGGGGTTCTGTGAGGAGGGGGGTGGTCGCATTGGTGTGCATGTGCGTTTGGGTGTGTGAGCGGGGGAGAGAGAGTTTGAATGTGTGGAGTAAATCAGCCTGCGTTATAACAACAATGGAAGGAGCGATTTGGACCTGGCGAGAGAGAGAGAGAGAGAGAGAGAGAGAGAGAGAGAGAGAGAGAGAGAGAGAGAGAGAGAGAGAGAGAGAGAGAGAGAGAGAGAGAGAGAGAGAGAAACGCCACTGCTGTCGTCAGACTCATAGAGGTGAGGTGGGGGTAGGAGAGGAGGAGGAGGCGGGGAGGTCGCATGTGGGGGGTAGGGGAGGAGGGCGGGGAGGTCACATGTGTCTGTGTGTGTTTGTGAGCTGGAGTCTTCCAGTATAGGGTAATTGTTATGAGTGGAGAGAGAAGAGACGGTTCTGCTTGAAGCTGTGGTCCTAATATCGAGTAGTGGGTATTGATCCCCAAACCTCTAGCGCGCTAAGCTACATCCCCTTGGTGGATATGGCAACTAAAAAAATAACAGATTGAACAGGGTATTCATGTGTCAATGATTAAGCTTGTTTACCAATTCTCAGCACCGATGACACTCTGTTCCTCGCTGTCTCCCTCTTTCCCTCTATCCGGGATTTTACTGATGAAGGTTTGCAAGAACCGTTACTGACACGGGCTATCTCCCTCTTACCACGCAACCCCACACCACTGCCGTGCCCCTTCCCTGTTGCCCCATCACAGCCAGTTGGCCTTGTTCCAGGGCCATGTGCACCAGCAGAACCTCTCAGCACTTTTGCAACTCTCCTATCCCCCTTTTTCCCCCACCCTGTTCTCCTCTGTCTGGCGGGTTGCCCCATCAGAGCCGGGTGGCATTGTTCGAAGGCTATGTGCGCCAGCAGACCCTCTCGGCACCGTCGCTAGTGAAAGAATTTAGAATGTGAGTGCTTTTGCCTTTTCAGTGGCCATGAGTGTACAGGCGATTGTGTGAGTCTGATTTTTGTCGGTGCTGTTTTCCCAGTGTCGTTTGTCTTTGTCTGTATCATTTCTGCCATCCCCTGTCCATGTTGTCACCTCTCACCACCCCTCTCCACCCCTCTCCTATCCTTCCCATCCCTCTCCACCCCGCTCCACCGCTCTCCGCCCATGCCTGTGCAGCTGGGTGGCAGTGCTTCCAGGGCCCACCATGAGTGACGGACGCCAGACATTCCGCCTCGCTCTCTACCGATCCATGGCTGTGAGTGCCTGCATGCATGCATAGGTTTCAATGCTTGCTTGCATGGCAGTGAGTGCATGGCAGTGGGTGCATGGCAGTGAGTGCATGGCAGTGAGTGCATGGCAGTGAGTGCATGGCAGTGAGTGCATGGCAGTGAGTGCATGGCAGTGAGTGCATGGCAGTGAGTGCATGGCAGTGAGTGCATGGCAGTGAGTGCATGGCAGTGAGTGCATGGCAGTGAGTGCATGGCTGTGAGTGCATGGCAGTGAGTGCATGGCAGTGAGTGCATGGCAGTGAGTGCATGGCAGTGAGTGCATGGCTGTGAGTGCATGGCAGTGAGTGCATGGCAGTGAGTGCATGGCAGTGAGTGCATGGCAGTGAGTGCATGGCAGTGAGTGCATGGCAGTGAGTGCATGGCAGTGAGTGCATGGCAGTGAGTGCATGGCAGTGAGTGCATGGCTGTGAGTGCATGGCAGTGAGTGCATGGCAGTGAGTGCATGGCAGTGAGTGCATGGCAGTGAGTGCATGGCAGTGAGTGCATGGCAGTGAGTGCATGGCAGTGAGTGCATGGCAGTGAGTGCATGGCAGTGAGTGCATGGCAGTGAGTGCATGGCAGTGGGTGCATGGCAGTGGGTGCATGGCAGTGAGTGCATGGCAGTGAGTGCATGGCAGTGAGTGCATGGCTGTGAGTGCATGGCAGTGAGTGCATGGCAGTGAGTGCATGGCAGTGAGTGCATGGCAGTGAGTGCATGGCAGTGAGTGCATGGATGTGAGTGCATGGCAGTGAGTGCATGGATGTGAGTGCATGGCAGTGAGTGCATGGCAGTGAGTGCATGGATGTGAGTGCATGGCAGTGAGTGCATGGATGTGAGTGCATGGCAGTGAGTGCATGGCAGTGAGTGCATGGATGTGAGTGCATGGCAGTGAGTGCATGGATGTGAGTGCATGGCAGTGAGTGCATGGCAGTGAGTGCATGGATGTGAGTGCATGGCAGTGAGTGCATGGATGTGAGTGCATGCACGACCTGCTGCAGTTTCGTGTGCCGTATTTTGACGTAGTTCTGCATGTGCTTTTGTGGCCCCTCCTCTTTGGCGTGCCTTTTTTTTACATAGCTGTACACATGCCTTTGCGCCATCTCAACATGTGTCCCTCCTCTCCCCCTCTCCCTCGCCCCCCAACTCACTGCAGTTTGGAGCGCCCTATTCCAACATAGCACTGCCTGTGCCTTAGAGGCGCCTCCTGAGAGTTCCCCAACCCCGCCTTCCCCCCTCCAAACCCGCCCACAACCCCTTGCAATTAAGAGCACTCTATTTCGACATAGCACTGCACGTGTGCCGCATTCACATGACCAAGCTGGACTGCATGCACGTTGCGAAGAGCCCACCCCCCGCCCACAGTAAGTCGATTTTTCAGTCGACTAAAAAATCGACGTACTACACCCCCCGCCCCCTCCCTCCCTCCCTCCCTCCCTGTTTGTTGCAGTTTGGCGTGCCCTATTTCAACATAGCACTACACGTGTGCCGCATTCACATGACCAAGCTGGACTCCGCCAACCCTGTACTCGTTATAGAGGACCCCGTTCATGGTATAAGACCTCCTCTTTCAATTCTACTCTTTCCTTTCATTCTACTCGTTCCTTTCATTCTAATCTTTCCTTTCATTCTACTCTTTCCAATGCTCTGTGCAATTCTTTGTTCTCTCTGAATATTTCTTCTCTGATTCATTTCTCCTGGGGGAACTGGCAGCTGAGCTCTCATCTTTCCGTGCTGTGTTGCTAATGGGATATCTTTGTTCTGTGTGTCTGATTTTTTAGATGTCTCATAATTCAGCATGTCTCTGCTCTCTCTGTGTGGTTAATGCTGTGTTTATTGCACTTTATGCCTGTGTGTGCCCATCCATATGTGTTAATGATTATCTCACATGCCCACCTGTGTGCATGTTCACACACGTATGCATGCATGTTCACACACGTATGCATGCATGTTCGCACACGTGTGCATGCATGTTCACACACGTATGCATGCATGTTCACACACGTGTGCATGCATGTTCACACACGTATGCATGCATGTTCGCACACGTGTGCCTGCATGTTCGCACACGTGTGCATGCATGTTCGCACACGTGTGCATGCATGTTCGCACACGTGTGCGTGCATGTTCGCACACGTGTGCATGCATGTTCACACACGTGTGCATGCATGTTCACACACGTATGCATGCATGTTCACACACGTATGCATGCATGTTCACACACGTATGCATGCATGTTCACACACGTGTGCATGCATGTTCACACACGTGTGCCTGCATGTTCACACACGTATGCATGCATGTTCGCACACGTGTGCCTGCATGTTCGCACACGTGTGCATGCATGTTCGCACACGTGTGCATGCATGTTCACACACGTATGCATGCATGTTCACACACGTGTGCATGCATGTTCACACACGTGTGCCTGCATGTTCGCACACGTGTGCATGCATGTTCGCACACGTGTGCGTGCATGTTCACACACGTGTGCGTGCATTCATCCCTCTATGGCAGGGAATAATGGCAAGTTGAAGCTCGTGAGCGACTTGGACTCACCCGACCCCTTGCAGATATTCCGCCTGCACGACGCCTGTCGTGGAACACCACGGGTGACTCCTCCCTCCCTCCACCCTTTCTTTTCTCTCCACTCACTCTCTATGTGATTTTGAGTCGACTCAAAAGCTCACCCGGCCCCTCCCAGATATTGCGCCTTTTGAGACGTCTCAAAAGACCCCTCCCAGATATTGCGCCTGCACTACACCTGCCGAGGAACGCCACGGGTGATTCCTCTCTTCCCTCTCCCCCTTCTATCCCCTCATTCTTCCCTCCTAACAATCCTTCCTCCTCTCACTCTTCCTTTTTTTCTCACTCGTCCCTCATCTCTCATGCTACCCTCCCTCTCACTCTTTCCACCCTCTCACTCTTTCCACCCTCTCACTCTTTCCACCCTCTCACTCTTCCACCCTCTCACACTTTCCTCATTTTCACTCTTTCCTGCCTGTCACTCTTTCCACCCTCTCACTCTTCCCTCCCTCTCACTCCTTTCCACTTCTCACTCTTTCCTCCCTCTCACTCTTACCACCCTCTCACTCTTCCCTCCCTCTCACTCTTCCCTCCCTCTCACTCTTCCCTCCCTCTCACTCTTCCCTCCCTCTCACTCTTCCCTCCCTCTCACTCCTCCCTCCCTCTCACTCCTCCCTCCCTCTCACTCTTCCCTCCCTGTCACTCTTCCCTCCCTCTCAATCTTACCTCCCTCTCACTCTTTCCTCCCTCTCTCTTTCCTCCCTCCCACTCTTTCCTCCCGTCTCTCCTCACTCTTCTTCTGCATGCTGCGTAGAGGGGGGAGGTGTTTTCTCAGCAGTACGCACATGCACTCATGCCGATCCATGCAGTGAAATGTACAACATGCACTTGCACTTGCACTTGCACATGAACATCCCCTGAACATGCCCCTTCACAAGTACCACACACTCACAATTCTGAACCACACTGCAGGCACAGCAGCAGCTGGGGGGATCAGGAGCAGCAGGAGCAGGACCAGTGGCAGCAGCAGGAGCAGGAGGGGGGGCATCAGGATCAAGGAGAGGGGGTCAGCAAAGCGGAGAGGAATTCAGGCGCGTGGTGAACGTGCACGCATGGCAGGATGACGTGGACGAGGACACGGCGTTCCAGCTGGCGCTCTCTGAGTCGATGCGCACCGCCAGCATTGCCAGCTCTGCCCGAGCCGATGCCCCTGGTGCTTCTGGTTCCACTTCCACTGCTGCCCAGGGCATGAGCAGAGGGGAGGAAGGAGCAGACGGCTTTATTCTCACCTATTCCTCCTCTGAGCCCCAGCCCAGATCTGGCCGCTCCCTCTCCTCCTCCTCTTCTGCTGCGGCTGCAGTACCATTCACTGCGTTGCATCGTTCTTCCAGGTCCGTTTCAGCCTCTGCTGACCGCCACCCGTTTGTCCCACCTGCTTCCCCCATCCCCTCTTCCTCCGCTGCTGCCGGCACTTCTTCTGGCGTTGCCGCTGGTCCTGCTGCTGGCACTGCAGCTGGTTCAGCCAGTACAGCCGGAACAGCTGGCTTTGCTGCAGCAGGGGCGGAAGGGGGTCGAATGCGCGACGAGATTGCGAATCAGTTCTCCTCTGTGGCACCGGCGCTCAACCGAGCACCAGCAGCAGCCGTGTCGTCGCTCTTTGCCTCCGGCCCACCGTCAGCACCCCCAGTGGACGCTCCTGCTTCCGCAGCAGCAGGACCACATTCGTCAACGCCAGCAGCCCCGGCGGCAGCACCAGCAGGAGCAGGAGCAGGAACAGGAGCAGGAGCAGGAGCAGGAGAAGAAGCAGGAGCAGCAGCAACAGGAGCAGAAGTAGGAGCAGAGGCAAAGGCAGGAGTAGCAACAACAGGAGGGGCACCATCATCATCATCATCATCAGCAGCAGCAGCAGCAGCAGAGGCGTCTAAAGAGGGTCGGTGTGTGATTTGTTGGGACTCAGCAGCGCTTTCAGTGTGTGTGCCCTGCGGGCACGTGGCGGGGTGTGTGGAGTGTCTCACTAAGGTTAGATCCAAGGGCTGGGGCTGCCCTGTGTGCCGAGCTCCCATTCGAGAAGTGGTGAAGATTTTCCATGTTTAGGTTTTGTGCTTGTTTTGTGATTTTTGCTGTGAAGATACTATCTGCTGCCCCTATCCCCTCTTCCTCTGCTGCCGCTGGCGCTTCTTCTGGCGCTGCTGCTGGTCCTGCTGCTGGCTCTGCTTCTGACCACGCATCCAGCTCAGCAGGTACAGCTGGCACTGCTGCAGCTGGAGTTGAAGGGGGTAGAATGTGCGATGAGATTGCGAATCAGTTCTCCTCTGTGGCACCGGCGTTCAACCGAGCAGCAGCAGCCGTGTCGTCGCTCTTTGCTTCCGGCCCACCGTCAGCACCCCCTGTGGATGGTCCTGCTTCCACATCAGGAGCATCAGTGGGAGCAGGGAGAGTGCCAGGAGCAGCCGTGACAGGCCAGCCAGCATCAGCACCACACATCTTAGCGTCAGTACCACCAGAAGCAGCTGCGGCTCCAGTGTTCCCAGCTAGAGCAGCAGTGGCTGCGGAGGCGATTGCAACAGCAGCAGGGGCTCTCACAACAGCAACAGCTGCTGCAGCCGCGACAACATGGCAGCGAACCACAGGCCACCGTGCTTCCTTCTTCGACCCTCCCCTCATCCAGTTCTCCCCTCCCAGCAGCCCCAGGCGAAATCCAAATCCTCACATCCACCCGCAGGCTCAACCACCCAACTTGCATCCCCATACACCCGCCAACGTCCCATCCCCTGCTGCAGCGTCTGTAGCTATTCCTGGTGCATCTTTTTCATCAGTAGGTGGTGTGTCTGCTGGGCTTCACTCTCCAGGTGCGGCATCTGTAGCAGAGCTACATCCGAGCTACAACCCTGAGAGGGTGCAGGCAGAACTCGCTAGGGTACAGAGCCAAGGGCGTGGAGCAGCAGGAGCAGCTGTAGCTGTAGGAAGGGCAGCAGGAACAGGAGCAGGAGAAGAGGCAGGGGCAGGGGCAGGGGCAGGGGCAGGAGCAGGAGCAGAGGCAGGGGCAGAGGCAGGGGCAGGGGCAGAGGTGGGAGTAGCAGCAACGGGAGGGGCACCAGCGTCATCAACAGCAGGAGGGGCGTCTAGAGAGGGTCAGTGTGTGATTTGCTGGGATTCAGCAGCGCAGGCAGTGTGTGTGCCCTGTAGGCATTTAGCGGGGTGTGTGGAGTGTCTCACTGAGGTTAGATCCAAGGGCTGAGGCTGCCCTGTGTGCCGAGCTCCCATCCGAGAAGTGGTGAAGATCTTCCATGTTTAGGTTTTGTTCTTGCTTTGTGATGTTTGTGGTGAGACAATTATTCTTTCATCGGACAGTTCTAGCCTAAATGTGCTACTCAGCCTATGTGTAACGCTGCTCCAGCAACAATTCGTTTACACATGGAATAGATCCATTGGCATTATTTGTTGTAGGGGTGGAAGTTTACAGAAGTGTGTTATGCACTTCAAATGCCTCATCACATCTGATTTGTTGTTGTCCAGTTGCGCGTTTTGCGGGCTCCTTCATAAGTCTCTTCCTGTTATGAGTGCAATTGAGTGAACGAACGAGAATTGCACTATCGAAGCAAGAGTACAATGAGCGAAGAATATATAGCGAAACTACGGTGGTAACGGTAATGGACTGTGGTTGTCGCGCGACGGGCCTGGGACTGAGGTTGGGAAAAGTGTCGAAGCGGAGGCCCAGAGCGCGGGTTACCCGCCGAGCCGTGAGGTCGGGATGCGACGTGCGAAGGTGGCGGGCGGTTTGTCGATGCGAGGGTTGCGAGTGGTAACGGTGCTGACTGTGGTGCTACAGTGATGTACGCGTTGAGCAGGGATGCGAAGGAAAAGGAATTTTCCTTACACTACCCCCCCCCCCCCCCCCCCTATGGAGGTCCTCCTTACGAAAGTGCATGTACATCCCTGAAATTTCGGCTGCGCAGATACTCAGTGAGGACGGGGTGATTTTCGATTCTGTCCAGAGGAACCCAATTGTCTTCAGTGGGTGTGCGGTCCTTCCAATGGAGTAAGAACTCGATCCTTCGGGCTCCTCGAGGGTCGCGAACTCTGTGACTCAGGATTTTCTCGGGGGTGATGATTGGTTCAGTTGGTGGTCTTGTCATGCTGGCTGAGCGATTGCGTGGCAGTTGGCTCGTGCACGGGACGTAAGGGCGAAGTAGGCTGACGTGGAATGAGGGGCTGATGTACCAGTCAGCAGGGAGGAGGAGGTGGGCGGTGACGGGTGTAATCATGTGGCTTATGCGAAATGGCCCGCAGTATCGGGGTCGGAGTTTCGGGGTGATGGGCAGTCGGAGGTTTTGAGTGTCAAGTAAAACTAGGTCGTCGGGCTGGTAAGTGACAGGTCTGCGGTGGCGGTCGGCGTTGCGTTTAGCGATGATGTTCGATTTTTTTATTGCGTCTGCTGCCCGGGTCCGTGCTGCTTGTAATATTTCGGCGAACTATTGTGCTAGTGGTACTGGGTTGTCGGGATTCGGGGTCATGGGTACTGTCGGGTCTTGTCCGTAGTTTAAGTAAAATGGTGACTGTTGGGTCGTGGCGGATGGGGAGTTGTTGTACGCGAATTCGATTAGTGGCAGTTGCTGTTCCCACGTGGTCGGGTCGTCACACGTGGCCCTGATGAGCTGTTCCATGGTCTGATTAGTCCGTTCTGTCTATCCGTCAGTTTCGGGGTGGTACAATGAACTGAATTGCAGCCGCGTGCCGAACTGCTGCCACAGGTTCTAAGAAGATTAGAACGAGAATGAATGACTAAGGAATGGAAGTGATACAAATATGCAACCCTAGAAATGTGTACCCCATATAGGCTACCCCACTATAGCCTACACAATATTATGATTTGACACACCCCCATAGGCAAAGTGGGGGAGAACAAGGGGTCACAAGACCAGTCAAGCAAAGCAGACAAAGCTCAGGGTGGATCACAATGTCACCACACAGTCCGAGCACAAGGTCAAGGCCACAAGGCCAGTTCACATGCAGGAGTACACATATATATAAGGCTAAACAAACAAGAGCAGGTATATATATATGTAAGAGTACAAGCAAGGTCAAGGGGTGAGCAAGTGAGGCAAGACAGGCACAAGACCCAGCTGAGTGCAGAAGCGCTGATGATCACAAGGCGGAAGTGCCTTGGTGAAAACATCAGCAGTGTTGGCCTCAGAGGCCACGTACGCAAGTCGCAACTGACCACGCTGCTGCAACTCACGAGCAAGAAAGTAGCGGAGAGCAATGTGCTTCGTTCTGTGCTCCAGGCGCTGCTCCCGACACAAGGCCAGCATGGCCTTGTTGTCTACGTACAGCACTGGAGGAGAACGAGGTGGCTCTCCGAGGTCAGTAAGCAGGTAGGTGAGCCAGCGAAGCTCCTGTGCAGCCATGGCCCCGGCGTAGATCTCAGCCTCACAACTGGAGCCGAGAACAGAAGACGAGCGAGTAGCCCGCCACGAAACAGAGCCGGAACCAAGACTGAAGGTGTAACCCTGTGATGACCGCTGCGTAGCCTGGTCGTCAGCCCAAGAAGCGTCCGCGTGCCCAGTGAGGACCACTGGACTCCGCCCTCCAAGCACTAGCCCCATGCCCGACGTACTGCACAAGTAGGGCAACACCCTCTTCGCTGCAGCCATGTGCTCTGGTCTGTGTCTCCCAGGAGCAACATAGCGTGCAAGAATGCTAAGAGGGTATGCAAGGTCAGGTCGTGTGCAGGTCATCAGGTACATGAGGCAGCCAACAAGCTCTGGGTACGGGCCACTCGACTCTACGGACTCATCCGAAGGCAGAGCTGAGAGCGAGTGGCGAGTAGACAGAGGAGTGGCCTGAGGCGAGGAGTACATGAAGCCGAAGCGCTGAAGGACCTGCTGCACCATGTGTGACTGAGTCAGGGTAATGGTGCGGCGTGCTCTGTCCCGGGTGATCTGCAAGCCAAGGTAGCTGCGCAATTCACCCAGGTCTGTGCACGTGTGTCTCTTCTGCAGTTCGGACTTCACGTGGGCGAGTCCAGCAGTGTCAGCTGTGGCAAAGACCAAGTCGTCGACGTACACGAGGATGTAGAACGGCGGCAGAGAGGTGTCGGTGTGTAGAAACAGGAGGGAGCAAACCCAAGAGCCGCAAGCGTAGTCCTCAGTGTGTCGTGCCACTCGCGCGGCGCCTGGCGGAGACCGTAGACTGGACGCCGGAGACTCCACTGGGTACCAGGAGGGAAAGAACCAGTGAAGCCAGGTGGGCAGCGCAGCCAGATCTCCTCGTGCAAGCTGCCCTGCAAGAAAGCAGTGCTGAAGTCGAGAGAGTGCAGCTCGTAGTCACGGTGAGCAGCAACGTGCAGCAGTACCCAAAGAGTGGTCATCTTCGGGGTGGGGGAGAAGGTCTGAAAGTAGTCAACTCCCTGCCGCTGACTGAAGCCACGAGCCACGTAGCGTGCCTTGAAGACAGGCGGAGAACCCGGCGGCCGCTTCACCCTGAAGATCCACATGCCACTGACGATGTTCGCCCCAGGAGGGGGGACAGCGTCAACGTAGGTGCCTGTGGACTTCCAGGAAGCCATCTTTGCATCCATAGCTGCCTGCCACTGAGAGGAGTAGGGACCCTCTATCGCCTCCGCGTAAGAGCGCGGAGTCGGGATGTCAAGTGCATCCGGGTCTCCCTCAGGGGTAAGCAGTACGGACACGAGATGAGGTGAAGCAGCTGCCAGACACTGGAACTCCTCCTGCCTGTCCTCAAGGACGTCCGTGCCTAGGGCACACTCACCCCCGACGGACGGAGGACAGAGAGACTTAGACTTAGCGACAAGACTAGCAGCGTAGTCGAGGCGACAGCGAGCAGCAAAGTCGACGAGCTCAGTAACGAGGGCAGACGCAGCAGTAGACTCGAAAGAAGGGTCAGTGACGACAGTAGCAAGAAGACGCGTGACAGTAGGACTGGCAGCACGAAGAGAGTCCGACTCCGGGTCGGCAAGAGCAGGAAGAGAGGACTCAGGAGGAGAAGGCAAAGGGGCACGCAGAGGAGCAGTAGACGGACGTAGAGACATCCGGTGCGTGCCAGGGACAGGAGGAG